TTCCCCTTCGGTACACCATTTCACCCCAACTCAGCTTCGATGGTAAAGAAACTATAACGCGAATCGCGGCGTAAAAAGCAGCTATCGTATAAAAACAAAGTAAAAATGGTAAGTCAAGTTTACCTAAACAGGATTACGGGCTACGAAATGATGAGATCTTACGCAGCGATGATTAATAAAGACAATTTTGAAAAGGGCCGAGTGAATGGCCCTGAACAGTGTTCGCCATTCCATGAGAGAATTCTTCAAACAGAAAAATGTGTACATCCTTGCCCTTGGTGAGACGGCGGCGAGTATTGGGCGCATATGGCAATAAGACCTATTTCCCCTATTGAAGACACAAAGACAAACATAGAAATTGATGAAAAACAATGTATTCGTATTGATATAAACAAGTAATAAACTATATTACATCAGTCAACAGACAACAAAACAAATACAGGTCGATACTTACAAATACTCGACAGGGATCTTTTCCAACTTCTTCTTCTTCTTTCCAACAACAGCAAAATCAGCATCACTGAATACGCTTTCGTCTTTCTTCTTTTCGTTCTTCGGCTCACGAAGACCTAAGGGAAAGAATTTACAAACGACCAGTGAATATTAACGCTATCTGTCGTTAAACGTAAAGAATACACAAGTGTTTGTCGATAAAATCACACCGAAGACAAATAATACGATATTACTTAGAGCTCAAAACAACTCACCAGTAATTTTACTTCGCTCTTTTCGTATCAACTCCTTTGAGGTTTTCTTCCTCATATGCTCCAAAACTATCTTCTTAGCTTTATTTTTGTCCAGTTTCCTCTTTTTATCCGTATATTTCATGTATTTCAGATTTCGTTGCAATAAATCTGCCGGCCGTTGCGCACGTGCTTGTTCAATAAGAGAGAATCCCTGAAAAGTCCGAATCAACTATTCATATCTGAAAGCTATACCTGAACACATATATAAAATGATCAGAAATTCGAGATTTCTTTAGCTCCCTCTGAGATGCGCATGCTTTTCGCCAAAAAATTTACATAAAACAGAATACTCAAGAGAAGACGGAAAAAAAAAGTTAATAAACTACTTACTTACTTACTTAGATACTTAGATGGCTCGTCTTCACTCCATGTGCGAGCCACCGCACAGATTCCATTCGTTTCGTCCTCTCGCTACCGTCATCCACGATACCTTTCTTCCTTGACGGCCACGAGTTTCCATAGCGGACTTCAGAACGTTAACGAACACGTCGGCCCATCTAATAGGTGGTCTCCCTAGAGGACGCTTGTGGTCTCTAGGGAGGATCCACTCTATTGTCCTTCTCGTCCACCTGTCGTCAGTTCTCCTCATGATATGTCCGGCCCACCTGTGTTTTGCCTTGTAAGCGTATTCCACAGGATCTCTGAGTCGAGACATCACCCTCATATCTGAACTACGAAGTCCTGCTCGATGTTGTGAGCGCCTGTTGTATTTTAGAAGACACCTCTCTAACGCTCTGTGCGTTACTCGAAGCGTATTCGTGGTGGCATTCGTATCGGCCCACGTTTCTGCAGCGTAACAGAGCGCAGGAAGCACTGTTTGATCAAAGAGATGGGCTCGCAGGTCTACATCTGAAAGATGGTCAGTGGCCTCTCTGATAGACCCGAATGCAGACCAGCCCGCTCTCTTTCTCCTGTCCAGTTCCTCCTTGAGATCATTGTTCATGTTTATCGAGCGTCCTAGGTACACGTACGAATTGGTTTCCAGTATCTGCAAACCATTTATCGTCATGTGATGTTCTTCGCACCAGGAGTTCTTCATAAACTGTGTCTTCTTCCGATTGATTCGTAGTCCAATTCTACTTCCAGCTTCGTTAAGTTCGTTGAGCATCGTCTCTGCTTCAGTGATAGAATTCGAAAATAAGACGATGTCGTCTGCAAATCGAAGGTTGGATAGGAATTTTCCATCCACTCGTATGCCCCTCTCGTCCCAGTCGAGCGACTTCATGATCCACTGCAACGCCGCGGTAAACAGCTTCGGCGAGATAGTATCGCCCTGCCTGACGCCCTTCTCGATGGGGATGGTTAAAGGACGGTCAAACAGTTGTAGCGTCGTTGAGCAGTGTCTGTAACAGTCAGCTAAGATGTTAACATAGGATGACTCCACTCCTTGGTCGACCAGCGCTGACAGGATGGCGTTCGTTTCGACGCTGTCAAAGGCTTTCTCGTAGTCGACAAAGGTCAGAACGAGAGGCATATGGTATTCACGACAGACCTCTATTACTCTCACGACAGTCTGGATGTGGTCCATGCAGCTGAATCCCTTGCGGAACCCAGCTTGCTCTACTGGTTGCGCTTCATCCAGTGTACTCGAGATGCGCGTTAGAATGATCTTCGTAAAGAGCTTGTAGAGCACGCTCAACAAGCTGATTGGTCGGTAATTACGAAGATCTTCTCTGTCACCCTTCTTGAATAGAATGACAGTGCGCGAAGTTCTCCACTGGTCCGGAATCCTTCCCTTTCGAAGATAGGACGTCATATGGGCTGCCAAAATGGCATGAAGTGAGTGTTTCCCTGCTCTAAGGAAGTCGACCGAGATCTTATCGGGTCCGGGAGCAGTTCCCTTCTTCATGCTGTCGATGGCAACTCGGACTTCTGAGGTAAGGATCGTAGGTGGTCGGGGGGCAGTGGGGATAACAGGGTCTGGTACGGGTGTGGAGGAGCGGAATAGACTTGTGTAGAACGTTTCCGCTATAGATTCCATCTCCTTTCTAGAAGTAGTGAGGGTTCCGTCCTCTCTCAGGAGAGCAGAAAGTGGTACGCGATGATCGGTGAGGTCCCGCTTGCACTTCTTTATACTTGATCTTCCTTGTGCAGCTTCGAGGATTTTTCTTTGCCTGAACTGTCGTATGTCCTCCTGCAGCGCTATTCTGCAACTGGTGTCAGCAATCAGTCGCTCGAGGTGGGTTGCATTCGGATCAAGTCGCAGGCTCCTTCGCTTACTCAAGAGTTCTCTCGTTGACGTCGAGATGCGTTCGGAGCTCCTTCGCTGAGTAAGAGAAGCCGCATCAGCACAGGCTTGAAGTCCCTCGAGTAGCAATTCGTAATCCTTCGTTGGGTCCTCATCGATCCGCCACAAGTGTTGGGAAAGGCACTCGTTCAAGATGTTCTCATCGTACACGACCGATCTTCTTGTCTTCGGGCGGTGCAAGGCTCGTTTTTCAAGCCTGGTAGATAGACGAATTTTCGCCCGAAGAAGCCGATGATCAGATCCGGTACAGAAAGATGGCACTACAGCGACATCACAAAGGCACCGTCTCCTGTTCGTAATAATGTGATCGATCTCGGCACGTGTCGTGCCGTTGGGTGATTCCCATGTCCAGCGGCGATGTTCCTTCTTCTCGAACAAAGAGTTACCGTGGAAGAGACGAGTCGCGGACATGAGCCCAGCAAGCCGATTTCCGTTTTCGTTCCTTTCGCCAATCCCAAACTGGCCAATCCTGTCTTCTTTTTCTTCCACCTTACCGATCCTCGCATTGAAGTCTCCGACAATGAATTTATAGAAGGACTTCTCGGTGCGGATGACTTCCTCCAGCTGATCGTAGAATGCGTCTAATTCGGAATCATCAGCGCCCATGTGTGGTGAATAGCAGCTGATGATACAGATGGACTTTTGACGCCGCGGCTGAAGACGGAGGATGGCAAGGCGAGGAGAGAGGATTTCGTAGGAGTCAACGTGTTGGACGACAGATGGGTGAACGACGAACCCGACGCCACCGATGTTTCGCGATGGAAACTTCTCACCACGAATGACAAGAGTTCCATCGAAGAAATGTCGTATATCGGTCTTCTTACACTTCGTTTCCTGGAGCGCGATTACGTTGTACTTGATTCGACTCGCAAATGGAGTTTGACGACGTACAACTAGTAAAGGGAGAAGAGGAGTTCTAGTCACGAGAAAAAAATATAATTTATGTCCAATCGAAGAATTGTTGACAGATCAAGTGTCACATGTATATGCGGAAAGTGAAAAAGTGAAAGTGAATATGAATTGTACAAGAATTTCCAAGCTACTCCTTCTGAAAAGACTAACCTGCTGCGCTAATCTTATCATCGAATTCGAAGCTCTCATGTCGTTTTCGCCGTTCAACAATATAACTTTCCTCAGGCGGCAATTCAACCTTAATAAGTACATGGCATAGCTTGATTTACACAGCCAAGGTATCCTTAATAAAACCTAACCTGTCCTTTCGAAGCAGCCACCAGAATGCGCTTTATATGCTCATCTCGCAACTCCTGCTTTGACCGTTTTTGCTTTGTCTTCTTGATAAGACCATCTTCTGAAAATTTACGGACTGGCATGATCTCTGATGATATCGAACAATCTTTCGAAAGATCAGGCTTTAGCCTTTTCATAAATGTCCTCTTTTCAAGGATGAGTCATGAACTCACGTTCCGAATGCATCCTCCGCTTCTATATGACATAAATTTTTATACTCATCTTCATGGACCTCGAAATGGCACTAGCTCGTAGTTGATCGAACTCCGATCAGTGGGCTTTTAACACTAGGAACGACTGGCTGTTCCAGAAACCCCACGAAATAAAGGGGCACAGCTCAACTAACTGCACTTCGCATTCGCAACTTTGACGAATAAGTCGATCCATTTGTAGTTTGATTTTTCACATGGATCTATATTATTCCAATACATGTGGAATCTGTCCATGAAGTATCACGAATTGACAGTAAGCAGCATACACAGGGGAGGGGAGCACTGCAGTCTGACGACTATTGCAGATTACGCTGATTCCAGCTTTTTAAAAGGAGTCCCATCGAAGAAATCTAAACAAGATTTCTTGTTACGATTAGGCGCCATACGGTGCGATGAAAAGCCGTGAGCCCAGATGATGAGGTTTTTTGCCCAAGCTCAAAAGAAAGGGAATTCAAGGTGATGGACAAGTCCCCTTGTGCGGAAAGAGCTTTTCAACCTTGTTAGAAGTGACTGCATGGAAACGGCAGGATTCCCACAAACTGATGGCTTGATGCCCTGCATTCACGCTAAGAACGGGCTCCCAGAAATGATAATATTACTACTCTTTCAAATCCTCATCGTAGAACTCTGACAATTTTGGCAGCAAGATCACTTCCATTTGATTCATGGTGCCGTAATTCAAAACTTCTCTAGCCTTCACAACTATTGCAATTCATCCCTGTACTATATCGCATCTATCGGGCCCAAAAGCTGCCTCAACCCTCTTAATCCCCGGAAAGCAGAACTCAGATCGGTCCTAAGATTGCGTCACCTCATGCGCCCTACCGCCCCCCCCCCCCCTTTCACCTGCTTCGTTCCATGAGCTCCCTTTGCTCAGTTGTCTGTCAACAAAAAGTCGTTTTTAGCCTGTTTCTCGTCGAAAATAGAAGGATTGGAGGTTGCATCTGATTACACATGACGCATTGTGCAGAACGAACACAAAAACTTTCCAAGTGCGAATTACTAAACATCGCCACAATTCACAATGCCTCCACTTATTGCCTTGTTAACTCCAAACACAGGACCCCTACGCGAATGCACAAACACGAAAATGTCGCCTTAGCAACCAAGACTTATTTTACTTTAAAAGGTATAGAAATTCGACCAAAAAAACGTATGTGAGCCCAACTGTACACAGAAGAAATTTTGTAACTAACCCTCTTCGATGTCATCGAGAAATTTACGGAGCAGAATTCCTCCGACATCACAAGTTCCACTAACTTTCGGAAACGATACGCTGCACTCTCTTCTGAGTCGAAATTGAGCTGTAAGTCAAGCTACTTCGATTTCTATCTGTGCATCAGTTTCCAAATTCGGAACAGATATTGTCGTGATTCACGATTTATTTCGAATGCGACAATGAACGAACGATAACAATTTATTTTAAGCAACAGCAAACAGATTAAGCAGCATTGGAGTTGGGTCCACGCTTCTTTCCTGGTCCAGTCGCAACATTGACGAATCTTCTCGTGTATTGAATTCGTCGTGCCGCACGTCCTACATTAAAATTAATTCTGTTTATGCATACAAACAAAATCGAAAACGAAGCTAACCCTTCTTCTTCTTCTTTTTCTCCTGTTTCTCAACCTTTGGTGTCTGAGCACGCACTTTTCCGGCACGAGCCAAAGATCCGTGGACCTTACCTTGAATAATAATGATTTTTGCACAATACAAAAAAGAGCAATCTATGCCCAAGCACTACAAAAAATACTTTACGCTATACAGGTATCATATCATCGAAATAGCTCCATAAATAAATTTTTATCCAATGAATTTGCAATTAATCTTCCAGAAACGGTTTGAACGAGTGTCCGTTCTGATCTAGCTACCTCTCTGAACAATACGCTGACGCTGTATCCATGGTTTCAAACAGTGAAAGAGCGCTACGTTCACAATCACAGCAATCTCGTCAGCAATCTGGCTCAAGATTCAAAAGCGCATAGCTTGGACCACACTGCAATATCTCAGCGTCTACCACGAAAAAATGAAACTACAGTCTTGTTCAAAATAGGTAGCTATCAGAAAAGATAGCGGCGAGAGTCCTCACTTCTAAATTGCGGTGTTTTCATGTTACGCCCCTGCACATTCAAGTTTTACTCTGGGATCCCATCTATGTGGCTAATCCGCATTATTTTAGGAAGGTTGTGATTCGAGAGAAAATGGGAAAGGAAGGGTGGAGGCAGATAGCTCAACGGTCGATATGGATGATGTATATCTTTCAACCTATTTCACTGCCTCCTTCAAACAGTATCAAATTAAAAGTGTACAGCAGCACATTTCGTTACCTACTAAACTTCCATCACTGATGAAATTCACACGATTATCTTACTCTCCCGGAACCGTTAGTTAAGATTAGACAGACGATTAGACAACTGAGACTCCCACAAGATACGCTTCATCCTATAGGCTATCTCAAGGAAGTCGGCAAACTCACCTAATTTTCTGAAAGTGGGCAACAACATGTTGAATAAACATGCTGCTGTTGCCTATTTTCAATAAAAATAAAGAATAAAGAGAAAAAGGGGCAAATATGCAAGTAAATAACGATATCCGAAACAACAACAACAGCATAACTGCAGCCTAACTTAAGCTCTAATCTCCTGTCAACCCACTTTTCCAATCCCCAATGTTTGTCCACTTCTGGCCAAAACTAGCGCTAGATTGCTCCTAGCCGACTACATGCACGCAAGATGTGGGTTATGCATAAGAAGGGCTCGGCAGAAAAAGACGGACATGATGCAACGTAGACTCTGCATATAAGGGAGATGGTTCAAAAAATTGGTGAAAGCCAAACACTGTGAACGCTTTTAGCACTACTTCCACAAAGGGCGGTTTGGATGAATATCGAACAAAATCAATTATTCACCCATAATCAGAAATAAATATAAAAATACGATGAAAAACGATATATAATTCAATGTGTGATGGGACTTACCTCCGAGAAGTCTAGCATTTATAGCGAGCGAGGCTCCATCAGAAATGTCAAGGCTCGAAAGGCTCGAAGAATCTTCCAGAATGGAGCTACCATAAGAGAGAATGTGCTCATTAGCTCCTAAGTCCTTCTGAAACAATACCATTACCTTCCGCTCACAACGCCAACCATGTAAACGAAGCGTTCGTATTTGCATGTCAATGTAACCAAAATAACTCATTCTAGGAAAGGCCTCTAGACTTAAAAAATTAAGCGCAAAGGTAATATAGAGAGCAAGCTCGCACCGCCGCAACGCAACTTCTCTATCCTAGACCAATTAAATCCGTAAATGGACATAAAAGAGTAATAGCTTCTAATCCCATCTCGTCCTTTTTATCACCCCGACCACCGCAAAAATAATCCTGTACATCAACCAAAAATCAAACCTTTCTGATCGGCCAACGGACCAAGGATAACAATTATGAAGGCACAAATTTAAACATAAAATATTGCAGGAGAGAAATAAGAGCGTTCACGTACCATGTCATTACAGCTGGCAAGGGAGCAATCCATGGAAATCATTGCAAAGAAATCAAAAAGTCTACGTCAAAAATAATTTGGTTATAACATCGACGCACAGCTCAGCGCGCCCTCGCACTGGGTTTATCACTATCAGGACTAAATCCTTGAGAAAGGGCTCAGAGGTGAGTGAGCCACTCACCCTGATATCACACACTTCAACTTTTGTCACATGCTGCGTGGTTTACCCACCTCGGAGTCCTCCTTCTCCAATAAGCTCAGTCTTAAGCACAATGTATAAGAGAGAGTCCACTTGCCAACTGGCGCCAGCATCAAAAATGAAGGTCATATTCCTAATCAGGGCATCGAATTACCACTATAGTTTCGAAAAAATAAAATTTTTAGATTTTGGAGCAGTAACAGTGGAACACTGTCGTACGAACTATAGAATGGGAACAATGCCCATGCTTTGCCTATAGTGGAAAGAACTTAGGAAGAAGTCGCGCAAGCGATAGAAAAGGGATGACTTGGGTGGGAGGCGTTACCACATCACGCTGTCGTCATTTGTTAAATAAAACATCGCATACGACTTAATTGAACTGATAATACTATCTTTAGACAGGTGTTTCCAACGGCCTTCACGATAGAGCGTTCGTTCCCGCAGATTTCTTATCCACTCACTTCAAATCTTTAACAGGGAGTCTGCATCAGGAAGCCTCGAGCAGTTTTTGATTAAGCAAAATAAAGCATACAAAGACACGGAAAAGAAGGAAGGACACAGAGTTTCTTGATAAATATTCGAACTTTCCAAAAATTTCCGAATGCAATTCAAAACTTAACATATTTTGACTTTTAATATATAGTTTGGAAAGTGAACAAATAAACAGACCTTAATCTGTGCAACGGTAGTTTCTGGTGCAACTTCGAGGCGATGGATTCCGCCATCCAAGGCACTGATGAATATCTGCATTTTTGCCAAGCCGAACTACTGAAATGATTGATCAAGGAATTGCGCTTCAACATGAATATTAAACAGGACATGCAACCTCACGAAAAAGACACCAATCAGAATCAGCTGCCACATTGAAATCACACAAAATTATTTCGAAAAAGAATAACTTTTTTTTTTCGCAATCAACAATCACCACACTTATCGATGTCGATGATATCTCTGCAGAACCCAGCAAACTTCTTGCTTGTAATTCGAAATCAATAAGGCCAAAAGTAAGTATAATCCACGAGAACGCGATCAACGAAAACTTTACGTCAAAACTCAACAAAACACTCCAAGATTAACCTTGTAAGTCGTCTGTATTTGACAGTAAGACTATAAACATGAAAATTGAAGAGAAACTCAACACAACTGGAAAACAAACGATGTACTTAGAGCCGCACCACAAAAATAAGAGCAGAAGAAAACTTGAAGCGATGAAAAATTTCAGTCCTAAGCAACTCTATTTAAACGACATCATCAAAAATAAGGTGGAACTCCAATTGCGCCCCAAGCGGCAAAGGCTGAGCGCAGTTTACTGAGCATAACGAAAAGAATTAAACGCAAATCAATTTCAAAAAAAAAAAAGAATTCATAACGAAAAGCTTCCAACAACACTCACCACCCGAACTTTATACATACAAACATAGGATACTCAGCGGAAGCCAAATGCAGCTGAACCCTAGCGGTCCTACACGAAAGCGGATGCATTTTTCAAAGGAAAACTCGTCCAGAAAAGTTATTCTCATTAGAGCACACTTTTTGGCCCTGATGAAGTACTTTCTGCAGATTGCTTCCCTCACAGTAATTCGTTGTTTTTTTTCCTTGGGCTCACTGAACGGCTTTTCAATCATTTAGTGTCTAGAGTTATCAGTTCGTTTGTTGTTAAGCGCATCAGTGAGGGATAAAGAGGGACGCTTAAGGCTGAGGGATTACGCATAAAGACTGGATTTTGATCTTACATGTGGGGTGGGGAGATTGAATAATGCGCCAGTGGCGAAAAAGGAAATAGTCCAGAACGCACAAAAAGGGTCCCTCAGTTTGCCCGGATGAGCCAGCGACCAACTAGGGTCGTTTGCACAAGTCAACCCGTATTACCATCACTGAACCAACGACGACGCGGCTTGCTTGATCGCCTCCACAGAAAAGATAAGGAGAATATATGGTTCGTTTTTGAAGTCAAATATGCACCTCTTTCAAAATGAAAAATGACAACGCCATTTCTAGCAACACAGGAGGGCAGAGCAAGACGGAGGCGCCCCTACTGCGCTGCAACCTACCTTTGACCATGAAGGTCACACCTCGCTTCCTTTGGCCCCTGGTTATTGCTCCCACTGGTGCATGTACATCCACGCTGCGCATGCAACTTCGACGGACTACTTGAGCTCGGTCCTTTGAGCCGCTTTAATTCGTTCTGCGCTCTTTCGCCTTATCAGCGACTCATGACCATTGTGGTCTCACACACAACCTTTCCATAGTGTAGTTGGCTCACCCACCTCGGGGCCCCTTCCCCCTTTGAGGCTTCGTCTTAGCTTCTCTGCACGTCTCCTTCCTGTGGGATATGAAGCACGCTAGGGCTCCGCCATTGTGACCATGGAAGCAAAGCGAACGCGACTGCGAGAGCCCCAAAATGAGTGGGGAGAGACGTTTTCAAGACAGTTGATGGCTCACGGATACGTAGAGACGCCCTGGGAGCGTATCCTATCCTTCCCCTAAGGGGACGCGTCCCCCACCGTGATCCCATCCTACGTTGGAGGAGGCAGGGTTGCGTCATAGGAGCAGCCATACTCTGCGTCAGGCAACAGACAGCATGACCGCTCAAAGGAAAGCAGTGCCTCAACACAGGAGGGTAGCTAAACATCATGCGCTCAATGGCGGCTCCAATGACGCAACCTGTCTCCCCAGCATGGGATAGAGCGGGGGGGGGGAGGACGCTTCCTCATGGAGGAGGGATGGGATACAGCCTGTGGGTCGACGGACTACTTGAACCCCCTTAAAACCGCCTCTGCGCTCTCTGGCAGGTCCCTCTCCTCTCCAAGGCTTAGTCCTAGGGCACTCGCCCGTTCTCTAATCGTCTGTGCCCGTGGACAGAGCAATGTGGTGACGACTGACAAAGGTAAGGACCCTGCGTCTGCGCGAGACTAACGCTAGGAAGAAGAATTAGAAGTCAATGTGTACTTCTCGTCCTTGTGTGTAATGGAGGGATCATTACCCGTTTGAAGTCTACCCTAGAATACGTCATTGCACTTCTTTGGAGCCGTTTTCTAGACAAGGCAGATTGGACTTTGTGACAGGTGCAAACTTCCATGGGACGGGTTTCCTCTCGTGTCGCGTTTTTGCACCCTCCGATGGCGTTTTGTGTGTGTCGTTTCTATTCCTTCAAGGCGTAACACAAGGAAGCAGTCGTGCTTCCTCTACGTTTCGGTTTTGTATGGAAAAAGCTGCGGCGTTGATCATCCGATTTTAGACTGCGCCACGCATTCTACTTCTGTTCAGAACTATGGTGGCAATTTGATAGGGATTTGGCTTACTTAGTTACCTGACGAGGCAGACCGAATTACGAGCCCGAGTGTTTTTCTCCTCCCCAACAAGCCTGGTGCTAGAACACCGATCCTAGGAGGATTGAGAGCTTGGTTAGCCTACACGTCTCCTATCCAGCATTCGATCCCCGGATCGTGGCGTGGTAAGCAGCGCCACTTGTCGCTACGCTGTTGAATGGGACTTGATCCAGTGAGCTGTAAAGGGCTATCCTGCACCGCCAGCCCTGCGTACCTTACCCAA